ATAATTTTATATAGTTACTTTTGTCTTTTGTATTGGGCTTTTTGATTGACTGCGAGAACGTTCGTTAGTTGGAGAAGGTGATCTTTGACTGCGACTTTTGTTATCTCGGTATCTACTATTAACATTTTGACATGAAGCTTGTGAATGACATGATGGGGTTTCTGATCGGCAGTTGCTTTGGTGAGGTGGGGTTTTTGGTTAATGATTATTTTGGCCAAGTAGTATTACAGATCGTCTGCATTGGTAAGACAACAATTTTGTCGATAAAGTGTTGACGATCGTAATAGTGTACTTCGATGTGATATAGATGGTAAAATTGTTGAAATGATGTTAATTTGGTAAGGGCTTCTACTATGCATTTTTTCAAAAAAGTTTTCAAAAAAACAAAAAAAATTTAGGTATAAGTATTTGGAGAGAAAAGCGATTATAAGTATCTAAAAAACAAAAAAAAAAATCAATTGGGTTATCAGGTATTTGGTATTTAGTTGAGAGAAAATAGAAAAAAAAAGAGATTATGAAAAACAAATTGAGTTATTGGATATTTGGTATTTAAATTAAAAAAAAAGAGACAAGAAAAAGCGATTTATTTTATATTAATTACTTATTAATAATCAGGCTTTCGTTTAATATATTAGTATATAAAAATGTTATAACAGAAAGATTTTACAAGTAAAGCAAAAGAGCAAATAAATATCACTAAAAGAAAGAATGATGTGAAAGAGTCAAATATGCAAACATATAATAAGAAGAAATATGACCTATTTATAATTTTTATAGTCTGATCATATTTTCGAAAGTCTAATGAATTTATCTTTGATTGCATACGATGTATTTTAAAATGTGCTGTTAATTGTTAATTTAATATCAGAATAAAATTTACAGTCAAATAAAAATATATAAAAAATTATATAATCTATAGCAATTTAGAAATAAAATTCATATTATGCAATTTACGAATATTTGCATTAAACAAATAAAAACTTATTGGTATAAACTATAGATGCCTGATGAAATTATTTTGACTGATAAAATTATAAGTTTCATTTATATTTCATCATTGATGAAATGACGAAACTATAGTATTTCGTCAGATAACATGAATTTCGTGAATTTCGTCAAGCATCTTTAGTATAAACAGCAGAGACAGTGCCCAATCCAAAGTGAATTCCTCTCGCTTGTAATCAATCACAAATTAAATTATTTATATTGGATTCAATTGTGATGGATATAATCCCACATCAGTTTTAATATTAACAGTTTTTGCTATAATTAATACTTGCCACTCAAGTCCCAAACAATTATAGATTGGGTCTGTCCGTGCGCAAAT